CACTCTAACCAAATACTTTGCACTGCAACTTTACCCACTATAATTAGCTACAGCAGTAGCTTTTTTTATGTGTCTGAGCCAAATGAATATCAGCTTAAATATATTTTTACCTCCAGTTTAGTCCTCCATGTCTGCACCACCGCACAACATCATAAGACACTGTTAAATATTAACGCGAAACTGATGTGCTTTTCACTTGTTGCTTGTGAACAAGTTGAGTTTAGTTTTGTGAAGATTTAGAAATTTGTACTGTTTGAGTGTTGTCATTATCTCAGAGAGACCAGATGTCATGAATAAATTGAACATTAAACATAATGCAAGTTAAAAGTGTTACATCATTTTCAGCTTTCTTTTTTGCATTTTGCATTTGTTAGCAGGGTAAATTGACAAAGATAATGCAGTATTTTAATTTCACAGTAGAGAAAGCTATATAGTTTGTATAGGTATAGGTAAGTAGGTACCTATACCTAAAAAATGTCTGGGTAACACTTTATTTGAAGGGGGGTGAATAAGACTGTCATGACACCGTCATAAACATGACATAACACCTGTCATGAACATGAATAAGCCTTCATGAATATTTATGACTGTTGTCATAAAGCGTCATTCGGTAAATTATGACACTTTTAATACAAGGTTGACATTATTCAAAATGTCTTTGTTATGACAACTTGACATTAACCAAGACATCATTACTGTTTAAACTTTACCTTTAATAACATAAAGTTACCTAATTTTTAAAGTGCAATCAATAATACTTTTATAACAAATTCATATCAGTAATGATTTCTTGGTTAATGTCAAGTTGTCATAACAAAGACATTTTGAATAATGTCAACTTTGTATTAAAAGTGTCATAATTGACTAAATGATGCTTTATGACAACAGTCATAAATATTCATGAAGGCTTATTCATGTTCATGACATGTGTTGTGTCATGTTTATGACAGTGTCATGACAGTCTTATTCACCCCCCGTTCAAATAAAGTGTTACCAATATCTGTATTGATATTGGTTTTTGGCCAAATGAGTTTTAGTATATCGGCATATCGGATATCGATCAAAAATCTGATATTGTTCATCCCTAAAACACTCCCTTCAATCTCATATAAATTGTCTTATAGGAGTGAATTTTGGATGTTACACCAAAATGTCTCATACACATGCTTATTAGCACTCTTATTTATTGAGCAATCAAATGTTAGTTCTTATAGGACTTATTAGAAGAAAATGTATGTATTGTTTTTATGAAACAGTATATCTACTCTATGACAGATATATTCATGTGTCAGTTGGGACTATAATTTCTTTCTTCCATGTCTTAATTTCACAATTGCAAGGAGAACATTTCCTGTCACTTATTAGTGGAACGTGAAACCTGAAATAGAACATAAAAACGTTTCAGTGGAAGATTAGTGTTTTGATGTCACGCAAGGCTGATATTCTCATTCATTCTGATGGGGCAGACAGCTGTATGCAAAATGATATCAATAAATAAGCTGATCAGGTTGTGATGAGAAGTAAAACAATACAATCTAATAATAAACATGTTTCATTATTAACTTAATATTTGAAGTTTCTGCTGAATATGAATAAAACACTGTATGCTTATTAAAATTAATCTTGTGTAGATTTCAGCTATAGCTCTGGAGCTAAACGGTAATTCCAGAGGACTCATAATCTTCAAGGTGCAATGGCAGGATAGGCATGATTTACTAGTTGATGCTTTTTCTTACCTATGAGCCATGTGAAGTGTTCAGATTCCCCTTGAACACTGTCCTGTCCTATGCCCTTTTTTATTTTTTTTCAAAATTAATTTTTGATAAAAATTGTATCCTGTGCCAAAGCACATAAAGTGCAGATGGAAGGTGAAAGTTAAAATGGGGATATGAAGTGCAGCATTGGCTGGATAGAGATATATCAGCCTCACTGTCAGAACATATATGATGAGTCAACCCTAAAAGCTGATAAGAGATCTATAATAACCAAAAATAGTTGAAAGTGAAAAGGTTTTCTAAACTGCAGATGGCACAGAAGTTCTCACTTCCAGTTAAAGCAACATGACTGTCAGTTAGAGCTGCAACTTTGTAAGGCTCCTCAGCTCTCTGGTCTCTGAGGGGGGGAAATTAACCTCAGATCCAAACTTTTCATGAGCGAGGAAGAGAAACTGATAATGATGACAGATACCAGGTTCTCTTGGTCCTTTGGGAGGAAAGTTAAAAGAAAAGTGAGGTTTGTTGGGACTCACTCCTGATTTACTGGTGGGAAGAGATGTGAGTGGGAGGGTGTTTGGATGGAAAGAAAGGGGGTGTGGAGATGAAAAAGAGCATTGTCAGATTGTATCACTCCCCAAAGGAGAAACGTCAAGCCCCTTAGCCCGTGCCTAAGTGCTGCAGGTGACATTTGTCCATACAGCTATGACTAAAGAGCAAGCCAGGCGACCCTGCCTGAACACCAATCATCTGCCTGGCCCATCTCTGCCACAGTGCTAAAATGAGACTGTCATTTTGTACCGCTGTTCTTTCACTACATGTCACTGCATGGGGAAAAAAAAGATAGATGCTCTTCCTTTATTCGTTCTTATTCAGAACCCGACTCTTTGTGGTAGGATTAGCTGATATGGAGCACTGATGAAGTTCAGACAGCTCAACTGGGCACTAAGATACGTCTTCATTATGCCTAAAGTGCTCCTAAAACATTATCATTAGCCTTGAGAGAGCTAGATGGCAGGCCGCGGTCTGGAATGGGGCTGCCATGTAAAGGCCTGTCATTTTAAAAGACGAATCTGACCGCCTGTGTCAGGTTTCTAACTGCTTCCATACAGTCAGATGTTCTTGTGGATAACAAATGCAGCTGAAGTCAGTTTTTGCCATGAAAATTTTTAAATTTTTATGAGATTGAATTTGTCTCTAATTTCAATGAATGTTATTTTAAAACCAGATTTAAATTGTCCTACACTTAAAGGAAATTAGTAAAAACTCTTCTGGCATAAAGGCAGCCATGACCTTCTGTGCTCTTAATCCATCCATCCATTTTTTAACACCCTTGTCCCTTAGTGGGGTCGTGAGGGGTGCTGGTGCCTATCTCCAGCTAACACCCTGGACAGGTTGCCAGTCTGTCACATGTGCTCTTAATCTTAGTCACCATATAGGTGTTTCTGTGCTGCTTACACATGTAAGGGCAAAATGTAGTATTTTGCAGCTGAGAAGTCTGATGTTGTTCCTCTGAAAGATGCTAAACAAAAATACAGGCAAAATACAGGGAAGCACATCGTGAAGGTTAATTATAATGGTGATTGTGGATGTTCCTACCGTATACAGCTGGCTCTGTATTTAAACTAAAAATGCCTTATCAAATGAGTCACAAATTTGTCAAAACCAAGTTATCAAGTTTCAAGTTTTTATCCATTTTTAGGTTGACAAAGTGTTCATCAATCAATAGGTATTAGGTGCCAGACTGATGGTTTAAAGATCCATCCAATAGAAACATCTCTGTAGAGTTGTAGCTCTTGTACAGAATGTGGTATTTCATGCCAGCTCTAAAAGGTAAGTTGAAAAACATTTTAATTCCAAACATGCTTTTCAGGTAAAGGCACAACAAGCCTTGATAATTGGGAAGCTTTCAATATCCAGAAGCAACTTGGGAGAACTGTGACAAAATGTTAATACGCTTTTGAAGGAAGCAGAAGAAAATGTTGCCTGAGTGAATTTAAACTTCCTAGCTACACCTGTGTTCGCCTCCAGGCTGCTAGTATTTGAAGAAACATAAAACAATGTTGTTTTTCTTTCTCTCCTTTTTTCACCCAATTCTATGGAAAGTGAAGAGTGCTATATTACAATCAATAAATATGAAAAAAGGATATTAATGAGTCATTAATTTATTTTAACAGGAAATAAATACAAATATAATCAATCAAACATAGAATTAATTATATGTATATTAAATGCGTGGAGTTCATTTTAAAACCGACATCTAAATATTTCACAAATTAACTTATTTCATGCTTGTATGTTGAAGCACATCGTGTAATAATTCAAACTGTCAACTGCACCCATCAAACAGAGTGGGGGGTTCGGGGCACACCCTGACGTCTGATTGTTATTTATTGTCAAGACTGAGCACTAGCTGGTGTAAGCTAGTGGGCGGGGCTAACATTGACCTTGAAATCTATGGTAGCTTGCTCCATGAAGGACCACTGTGAGCTCTCTGGTTAACTTATCAGACATGATTCAGACCAAACTACAGATGTAGAGACTGGAGTTTCTTACCCAGATTTTATAGTAAACAAATTGCACAAATTGTTGAAGTTATTTTCCCACATCAAATGGAAATATGGGATAAATTAAGTATTTTTGAATGTATATTGACAGAGTTAAATCATAATCACTTTTAATGTTTAAACTTGATTGTAGTTCTCTGCTCCGAGGTACCATAATTATACATACTCAGCAACACAACAGTGTTTTGTTTCTACCACTTTAGAGTCATAGTCCATCATCACTCCTGTTAGGTTCTGTGTTTTTCTGTGTTTTGAGTTTCTTTCTGTGTCTAGTCCTGTTTTTCCCTGTGAGTCTCTGTGCTGTCTTGATTGATCCCAGCTGTGTCTCGTTCCTGTGATTACCCTCCCAGTGTATTTAGTCCCACCTGTTGTCTGTGTTCCTCGTCGTAAGTCATTTTGTCGTTTGTCTGCTTGCCATTACAATCGAACTGTATAGTCCTGTGTTGGTTAAGGTCTCGTCTTCAGTTTTTCAGTTGCTACATGTATTAGCTGTGTGCTCGTGTTCCTGCCGTGCCACCTGCGCTGGACTGTGTTTGAGCTATATTCATCATAAATTCATCATCTTCATCACAACTTCGGTCGTCAGCGTTCATTCTCACCACCACAAACCACAACTCATGACAACTCCTTCAGCAGTTCTTATCTCTAGAGTCACTGGGTTGGTAGCTCACTCAATTGGACTTTATTTCAAACCTCCAGATTTATTATGGTGATCCCTTACTTCTATCTGAAGCAGAGCCTCCTCTCTTTGACGAAGCACCTCCACATCCTCCTCACTGATCTCAGACAGGAAAGCCTGGACTCCTTCCTCATCACCTACTGCTTCTCCAAACAGTGGGTCCTCTTGGATCAGGTCACTGGATGGAGTCTGGGGACTCTGAGGGCACATTAGATAACACAAACATTAGAATCATCTATAAAGTTGTCATGTAATTGAACTAAAACCTGTAGAAAACATGCAAACATGACATGAATACCCTGGTGTTTATCTTCAGTTGAAGTAACCTTGACAGGTCAGAGTTCTCACTAAAACCAGCAAGATAGAGCACATCACCCCACTTCTTAGGTTCTTCCACTGGCTGTCTGGAGCTCAGAGAATTAAAACACTTAAAAACACTAAATGGACTTAACACCAAAATACATTAAAGATCTTCTGTTGTTGGATCAACCTTCCAGACCACTCAGGCTTTCTGGTTCTGGACTGCTCTGCATCAGAACCAGAACCAAGCATGGAGAAACAGTATGCAGCTTCTATGCACCACAAATCTGGAACAAACTTCTAGAAAACTGGAAAGCAGTTGAAACACGGAGCTACATTAAATCAATGCTAAATGCCCACCTGTTTAGAGTTGACTTTCATAAATTCTAACTGGAATATTATTAATTTTAGTCATTATTCCAATGTTTTATGATAATTTTTATCCTTTTGATTATAACATTTGAGAATATGTGACATTTGTTGCTTTTTTGTTTTGTGTTTTCATCTTATAAACACCTTAAATTACCTTTTTGTTGAAAGGTCACAGTGGTTCTCCTGTCACTTGCATAAATTATGCAGCTCCCTGTCAGAAACAACCAATCAGAGCCAGGAGGAATGTTTTAGCAGAGTTGATCACACTCATGCTCTCCATAACAAACAGCATGGATCAAGCTGAAGATTGACAGCGGGCTGTAGCTGTGGTAATGAAACAATTTAACATTACAGGAAAACCATTTTTTTAAAAGTATGAAACATTGAAATGAGAAATGTTCAGTGCTGCTGAAACCTTTAGACATGATTGTAGCTGCTACCACATACTTTCTGAAATGGTTTTTAAACAGGTGAGTATTAAAACTATACTAAGACGCTGCAGTAATGTCCTGGGAATTCAATTCTGTGCATCTTTTCATAACAACTGGAAAAGAAATTGACAATAAATAATGACAAAATGTCTGTTTAGTGCATTTTGCTACAGTGACTAAGTGAATGTAGAGCCACATTTATTCCACATGCTCCCACTGAAACATGCAAAGGAAAGAAAACAGAACAGGAGCCAGAGTTAGAAAAAGGCATGGTTTCCTTTTTTTGCATTGCTAATATGTTTCACTTTTGTGAGGTTGATTGCACAGCTACTTCCTTGTTGAGGGGCCAGTATGTGTCAGAGCGCAGGGACCAACCTGGGCTGACTCACAGCGCTGTGTCTATTGGCCAGTGTGACTCACCAGTCAGCTAATTCTGTAACAGTGTGCTCACTCCTCCACAAAGATACACGCCACTGTGGAATGAATTAGTTTAGCAAACAGATGAGGGGAAAAAAACCGTCAAGACAATCATGCTGACACTTTATTCCATAAGTTCACAAGCTGCTGACATGCTCAAACAACTTCAAGTTTCCTCCTATTGATTTCTAGTCCATTATGATGGTTATTTTAAAGAAGTGTGTGGGGAAACAGTCGATACCTTTGGTTGAGAAAATGCTTGCGGATGCATATGTATGAGATTCAAAATGTCGCCTTTCATGATTTGATATTCTCCCACTGCAAATGTTTTTACTTGATCCACAGTGCATAAGATGTTTTTAGACCAACTAGTTGTTCCATAGCACACCCACTGATTAGTGAACTTGCCAGGACACAATGAAAGTGGTCAGAGAAATATAATTTACCATTCAGCTTTCCACCCCCGGAGGCCTCTCTGTCGCATTCTTGCAGACCTTGCTAATGTGCCTTTCAGAGAGAAACAAAATAATTTATGTGACTTTCGTATCATAAAAAAAGATGGATTGTAGGGGTTCTATGTGGAAACAAATGTTCCTTATTAAACCGTTTCTGCCAGATCAAGCTTCCAGTTAAGAGTACAGTAAATGTCATTGAATAACTCTGTTATTAGAACACAGAGCTGCTGACAGAACCAAACACTTATGCCCCCTTTGTTCTATATTATTGCTTCACTAAGACATAAAAAAAAAAACTGTCCAGAATGTGGATGCACTTTGCAGGGTCTTGGTGAGACCTTCTGGAGCACAGCACTTAAATAGACATAAAACAACAAAAAGGTTCTCAGATTACTAAACCCTTGTGCGTGTGAGGACTGAGGCAAACATACGAGGACTAAGGCAAATGATACAAGTGATACGGGTGTGAGGTCAGTTGGACCCCATCTGTAAACACAAGGGTTAAAGCATGAACAAAACATCGGCATGGAGATAGGGTAATCCTTTTACCATGGTGGCTGTATATAATGGGTGGGACAATAAGGGCATCAATAAGGGCATAGTGGCAATGTGCTCATTCAGTGAGGAATGTGAAACTGGGTGGGCACTGCTGACCAACTCATCAAACCCACATCAGGCTGTTGCAGTTCTCCAAATAAGTCCCAGTAATTCTTTTGGACCAGCAGCTGCTCTAGTAAGCTAAATGTGCTTAACTCACTGCTATAGATTTAACCACAACCATTTTAAAATTCAACTCAACAAGTAATTTGTGTTCTCTCTGCCAGTGACGTGCAGTTGGGGAAAGGCGGTGCCTCATCTGACGTCAAACAAAAACAATTTGTCCACTTGATTGTTTTATAAATGTGTAGAACCATCAGGTTTTAAAAACTGTATCATTTCAATATTTTTATAGTTGAAATGCTGAATTTACTCATTACATGTTCAACATGGGAATACAGTGAGGTGCAGCAGTGAGGAGCTGTGCCTCATCTCTGGAGGTTTACTATCACACACTGACTGAAGCAGGCAGCAGGCACATTCATTGCTGTCTCTCTTTGTATCAGGAATATATTTGATCACATATGTGCTAAACATATTGATGTTCCACAGCCTGTCTAGTATACTTAATGAATCTGTGTCCTTCTGATTGGCCATAAATGCACAGTACAAATGCAATGGGTGACGCAGAAAGTAAATGCTGCATTGATAGGGGGCAGCATTGATCCCTCTGAGACAGATAGATAGACAGACAGACAGACAGACAGACAGACAGACAGACAGACAGACAGATAGATAGATAGATAGATAGATAGATAGATAGATAGATAGATAGATGGATGGATGGAGGTGATTTTCTTTGTGTAAATAAATCACACTTTCACCCAGACCTCTCATTTCATCTCATTTCAGCTCATCATGCCACTCTCACATGAATGATGGTGGAAAAAAAGGAAGATTTTCACCCACTGCATCAACTCACCTTCTTCTTGTCTTTCTGTGCTGAAGGGAGCAAGGCCCTTGATCGCTCTGCGATTTTCTGCAAGAGAACCAAATGAACAGACAGGGTCAAGAGAACGGATTTCTCCTCTATATTAAAATATTTTTTTATATCCCTGCCTCCATGTGAACAGATATGTATGGTTTTCTGCCAGAAATGCCAGTTGATTTATCTCCAAACAGCCAATGGAACATGGCTTTGAATTCCAGCTACCTTCTGAAGATCCCCGTAGCGCTGCACAGAATCTGAGAGTTCAGTCTTCAGTCTGGTCAGACGTAAACGATCTTGCTGTGCAGCAAAACAAGATTAGCTTTAATTAGCACAAGTATTGTGTAATCTGCTGTTTATTCTTCAATTGACAACCCATGAGGGAGGAGTGGCAGCATAAAATACCCGTGAAGAGCCGCTGATTATATCAGAGAGTTGTTTGATGAGAAGACTTGTGCTGGTGATGACTTTGTTGGTCTGCTGCTGAGTGGAATGTCTGGGGCAGAGACAGAGACAAAGTTCTGTCTTATAGGAAGGCATGAGATGACATGTTCTCAGCATAGATATCGAAGCCATACATATAATCCACTGGTCACTTTATTAACCACAAACACAAATCAATTACCAAAAATAGCAAATATCAATAAGATTTGCTACCTGGATCACAAAGCCTATTATTTATAAATAATGCATTATGAAAATTTATTGACTGTGTGAATTTTCAAACAGTGTGTATCTTATTTAAAGTAAAAAATTAAAAGTTACCAGAAAATATCCAAAAGTTGTTTTCAAAACAAGGATTCTCAGGGGAAAATGTAAATTCAAAGAGCAGAACCACAAGAAGAAGTTTTATTAGGGTTTCAGTCTGTGGTCTGAAACTATGGAGCAGTGTGACCGTGTTCAAACATTAAAAACATTTCAGACTTCTGTATAAGGAAATGCTCTAAACCAGTGGTCCCCAACCCCCGGTCTGTGGACCGGTACCGGTCC